ACATCCTGGACAGCCGAGAAGAAAAGATTACTGGATCCAGCTTGATCGCCATCTCCCTGGGCTCTGGCTACGTTTTGGGCTCCCTAACCAATGCGGCATTCTCAGACTTGGGTTTGGGGTTTCAGGTTAAGGGTTTAAGTGAAGGTTTGGAATTTGATTGAGACTGACGAATCAGTCAAAGTCTACAGCAGAAGCGTCGAAGCCCGTACTGGTTACTTGTCGTTGTCTAGATGCAAGCCATGCCACAGCATGATAGTGGCATGTACACTTACTTACTTGTGAACTCCATTGCGAAAGCCAGTTGAACTCGTCACCATGTACCAGAGATGAGATGGCCCAGTATGTCCCTTGGTGCTTTCGTAAATTGGCCCCCCCAGTCCACTAGGGAAGCTGCATGATTCGATTCTGGAACTTTCAGAGCACGAAGAGAAGACCCAGGTGCTCCTTTTCACCCTGGTCTTGGAAGCAACGCCCTTCCAGATCTTCGGGGGCATAGGCGCCTGTGATTCGCAGGTTCTGCAGGGCACTTGGGGTTTTTTAGAGTTTGTAGGGTTTAGGGCCGTTTAGGCCTTGAGCTCACAGACACAACAACACAAACTAAGCCGAACGACCAGACCTCGTACCTTTGACATGTCCCTGGCAATGGGCGTTCGACCCAGCAGGCTTTGCGCTGTTGCTGCTGGGGATTCTCCTGCTGGATGTCGGTGCCCTGTCAAGACACGCTTAAGTGACACTACTTCAGGTATCTGTCTATAACCGTTTATGTGCGTGTGTATATACATATATATATATATATGTATATATATATATATACATACATACATACATACATACATACATACATACACTTCGATTTACTTATACCAACACAACAAGGGTGTACGTCCAAATGCCGCGTTGCAAGTTTTACCCGTTCTGTCAGTATATGAATCCACCCAAGCGTGGGTATTGGTCCAAGGCGGCTTGCTGATAAGCTGCCAGCCCGACGACTTCATGTGACTCGCCGACTATACAAAATATGCCAGAGAGGCGGGAACGGCTGACCGAATTTGCCTTTGCATGCCGGCAAGGACTGTTATTGTGGCGATGAACTCGACACTCTTGGTTATCGCACGGCGCTCGGTGGTGCCATTAAGCATTAATTCATCAGAAATCGCCATCAGAGATCGGGCTGCTGGCGGCGTAGACTGGCTTAGAGCCCTCTTCCGCTCAGCCGGGAAGGGCGAACCTGGCTGCGATGCGATGCTCGGAAGCCTAAATCCTCACAACCCCCACATTTGCATCCGAAAGGTGAGCATCCCCTTCTTTTTCCTCGGTTTCTGCATTCTGCGGTTGGGGGAGGCCTCGAGCGGGCCTCGCAATGTCACCGAAGATTGCATCAGCTCAGCGTGCCAGAGATTGACTTCGCTACTGTAGAAGTCTGAGCAATGACGAAAAGTATCCCCTCATAATCTATAAAAGCATGCCATGATGTTCCCTAACGCCCGAATCTGAGTATCCAGGCCCCCTGTCTCATCATGGCACCCTTACAGACCCCTACACGGAACCCCCAAAAGGCTCCCAAAAGATTATAGAACCCTTTTGAGTGAGCCCTCAAAGGATACGAAGGCCCCACGATTCCCTTTCTGGATCTCTTATCTAGAAGCCTATTTGAGCTAGTTCCGCAGGCCCCAAAGTAACGCAGCCCGGTGCAGGTTGAGGAGCCCCAGGCAGCGGACTTGGCAGAAGCAGGGGCCAGGAGGCTAACTTCCCTCAGAAGCTGAGGGGGATCTAGGGCAGTTTAGGGTCTATGGTTTAGGGGCCTGGTGGCTTAGGGTTTAGAGGGTTTGGGGTTCAAGCGTTTGTGTTGTTTTGCTTGATTTGTTCCATGTAGTGGCGCAAACTGTCGCCGTTCTGCATGTCGTGGCCAGGCCACAGACGCTTTGAGCCAAGCCCAGATGGAGATCGGCGATTCGTTGCAAGAAATTAGTTGGCCTTGCAGCAGAAATAGGGCATGCCACCTGCCTGAATTTGGTATATGAGTCTGGGCATCTACGCTGAAGCTCCTGTGCCTTGTACTTTCATTACTGAAGAACGCTTCAGGCTTCAGTCGGGAATATCAGGTAGAACACCCTCCAAATCCTCGATTCTGTTGCAATCGAACGCACTCGGTTCAGGGATCGACGCACGGCCAAGAATGCTCAATGCTGTTCGACTCAACCCAACCACGCGCAGTCAATATTGGAGCCTCTTTCCGAGATGCAGTCAGCAAGTTTGGCTCATAGTCGCCCGAGAGGGTTACCGGAAGCTCATCTTCACTTTCTGTCAAGATTCTACTGGGTTCCGTAAAGCCTCTATGTCAAACCTATGTCTAGTAGCAGGCGGAGTTCTAGTGACTCCCCACTTCGAGGTGAAGTTCGTGGCGCTCGCCTGGTGAGGCGTCGGCACTCCCAGCTCTTTCAATGCGGTGCTGCATGATGTACACATGCCCGAACATGGTGGTTCGGCAATGTTAGTACATGTACACGAGAGTTCCTCATGATAAGCCCAAGCCACCTAGAGTGTCTAGCCACTGGCATTGCTGAACAGCCACATGTCAGCCGGTGTTTTCCCTTTGTACTCGCGCCTGTCCTGTCCCAAAGCCTTTTGCTTCAGATCTCACAAGTTTTGGTCTCTTGTTTTGCGGATGGGGGATTTGTTGGGCGCATGGCCACCATGCCAGTCAAAGGTGCAGGTGCCCTGTGCAGAACCCTGCTGGCACTGCATGAATTCATGGCAAGTGCTGCCATTTTTCAGGCGGCTCCCCTACAAGCCACCCTCTAAGATTCAGGCCGTCAGCGACCACTGGGCCACATGAAACACTGGACTCCAAGCACCCGATACTCCAATGATCCTATTAAGACCAAAAACCCTCAGCCCATCTTCAGCGTAATCTTGCAACCCAGGAGTTTAACGACAGGCCTTTGCTTCCTAGTGGCTTCAAAAGGTCAGACATCTCAAAGGAATCCGGCTCGAGCTGAGGGCCGAGTTTCATACCTTTGTCGTTTTACAGTACTTCACACTGATGAGTTTTACATTGTTTTTTTCTTGTGTAGTTGCTGCATTTTATAGGTTAAATTACGTAGGATGTTGCGTATATGTACTATTCGTTGCTCGATGTTAGGATGTTTCGCTATAGACCATACACTTCATGGTGTATGTGGTAGACTGTATGGTTGACCGTTTTGCATGTATATGTGCGTAGGTATGTACACTGAATATATATATATATATATGTTATATATATATATATAAGAGAGCTTGTGTGTGTGTGTACGTGTCTATACAACATGGATATGTTTCATTCATATGTTACATGTCAAGGCACTGACAGAGAGAGAGAGAGAGAGACATGTATAGATTGGATTGATATACATGATATACATATATTATGCATATGAGCTTCGTAGTGCATGTTGCAGGGTGTATGTTGTAAACTGTCAAGCATGTATCATTGCAGGAGTTATACCATGACATGATAGTGTGCTATGTTATAATGTGCAGTATTTCCGTATTCGTGTAGGACTTAAGTTATTGGTCAGATAAGACCATGCAAACACCAACTTCTGTTACAGGACAGAATAAGTTGTTAGTTTGCATTTAACTAGGTTCATGAGAAACTAGGTTAGACCATACTTTAGCCAATATCATGTAGTTTATGTTTTGATGTCTTAGTTCATTGGATGAGGGCGTGTTAAGTGTTTTGAATCAAAAGGTTATCAGTTCGCACTACTCTACAGTCTTGTACCATATATAGTTATGTTCTATAGTAAATGACATTATACTGTCGTTTACTATATTGTGTTGTGCCATGTCATACCGCATCATATACATGTGTACATATATATATATATATGTACTTATTTGTTTATGCTACACTCCCCCCCCCTCCGTGTTTACCGCCGGCGTGTGTCTAGATCCTCAAGTGCATATGCGCACATCAAATGTTCGACGGGTACAGAATAATTGCCTCATTTCGTTAAGATGGTACTTACACAGCATGAGTGGGATCTTTCTTTCTTCGGAAGCTCAGGGTCCGACAGTCATCTAATGGCCATCCTAGCTTAGAAAGTGGTCGCTGCGAGCTCAGGTTGCACAGCCTGGCTTCACTGTACAGCCAAACACGGGGATAAAGCTTTAGGCCGTGACCGGTGCGCTGAAGGCCGCATGCTTTCAACGAGGATAAGGTACCATGCAGCACTGGGTGAAATAATGGTAGCAGCGTGATGTAGCACAACATAGCATAGCAACCAGACAGCCGCACAGCCTTTTCCTCGAACACTTCGACTACATGGCCCCTACATGGCTCATGTTACTTGATACCTCTAGCTCCCGAGTTGATCTGAATAGTTGTCAAGTTCAGGGGCCGATGGATCGGAGCAGTCATGCTACACTCTCCCGGGCGACTTCAGGGTTCAATGAGTTCAGTGCACTAATCACGGCTGCCTGAAAATGTTGCTTGTACAGCTTATGGATGGCAACTCTTGCTTGTCTGGTTTGCCCGATGATGATCTGGGCATGACCAATGAAGAGAAAGGGCACAAGTCCAAAATCGCCACCGGTTGGAGTCGGACGGATGCTGCCACATCCCCATATCCCTGCACCGGAAGCCTGAACCTAGAATCGTGCATTCTTCCTGCAAACTTCACTGCTGTTTAGGGTTTCAGACGAGTCTGGTTAAGGCCTCCAACCCATGCAGCCGAAGACGAGAGTACCCACACCGGGCTGTGTGAATGCTTGAAACAGACCTTGTAATGGAGCATCCCCAAGACCATATTGAAGGTCTGTCGGCCCTCGCAGTTTCCGTTTTCATATCGGAGTTCCCTGAGTCTTCAAGCCGCCTGAGGCTCAGACCTAGCAGCTTTTCTGCTTGGAAACTCACGGCACATATCCGGTGAGTCCATGTAGCCTCTGTGTCTGAGATCTGCCACCTTGTTTTTCAAGAATTGTCAGATTCCCATAACGCTGCTCTGCCTGCACTGATGTGTCTTCGGGCCTTGCATGCCATCTATGCCATCCTGCGCAACGGCCTCTGGGACGACCCGGCAGAGGCTGTCTCGGGTACCATCCACACCCGCTTCCGGAAGGTGGGGCTTCTCTAAAGCACGGGTGTCTTATACTTGAAGTGCTTGTAATGAGCAATTGTCCTGCAAGTCAGGGTCTATATTAGGCTCCGTCTTCTCCGAACCTGCCAGGTAGCGGAGAGCAATGGGATCCAGGAAGCTGCTCAGCTTCATTTTGCCCCGCCACCCGTGAAGAAAGTTAGTACATTCGGTGAACGTCTTCTGTTTTTTTCTGCGGATGTCTATGGGTACTGGTAAGTTAGGCTTGTGTTTGCTCCGTCGTTCACGCTGCGTGTTGACACCCTTTGTTGAAATTCAGCTCGTCTCAGGATGGAGCCACCTACCTGACATGGCGCGCCGGCTGCAATTGATTCGTTGTTGCATAAGGTGTTGGCCTCAGAATGAGATTGGGATTCTTGGCATTCTGGCGTGGCGCGTCATCTTGAGTCTCACAAAAATGGTTCCGTCCTACAGTGTGTAGCATGCCCGAAATGTCGTTCAGTATGCGATCTGCGAAATGACAATGTCGGACATGTCAATCACGTCATTTACCCATGTCTTGAAGGTTGCATATTCTACACTATGTAGCTGCAAAATGCTCTACGCATGCAATCAGAAGAGAGCACGATGGCCAGAGAGGAAGCGCAACATGTCATTCAAAGTGGTGTGCACGAGCATGTTGGCGCCTGCTCTGCAGTATGGAGGGTGTGTGCATCGCATGTAATGTAAGTGTGCCTCCGATTGGTTGTGGCTCTGGGCCAGTCCACGGAAATGTCATCGCAATGACACTTTGTTTGTCCCCGTGCGTGTGAAGCTTTGTGTTGCCTTGGTGAGGAGATTCAGCTACCTGATCTGCCATGTTCTGTTCGCGGTAGCGTGGGGTGCTGCCAGTTACACGGAATGGATCCCGAACAGGCCGGGTCGCGCATGGGCGGGGCTAGACTTTTTCTTGCGTCTCATGCTTGACTCTTGACCGCCGACAGGCACTATGATGAGATCATTGCACAGCTGCCAAGGGAGATTGGACCCAAACGTTTCGAGACGTTTGTTGTAATGCTGTCTTGGTGGGATCCGTTTCTCAAGTACGTGTGGTGCACGTCCTTCATTATGGTTCTGTGTGCTCTGGTCACTGCAGCTCCATCATTGTCCGTCCGATATGCAAGACTATCACGATGGCTGGTGTGGTCATCTTGGCTCTTGAACTTTGTGCTGCCTTTCATGGTCCTGATGGTCTATCCGCTTCGCGAAGCCATCGACTGGAACGGCGTACGAGAGGATCTTTGTGTTGTCGTGGTGACCCGTGCACTGACTTCTCCGGGAATCGACATGAGCTCAGCGCTGAGCAGCTTGCAGCCCGGTGCCAGTGGACTTTCCGGCTTGCAGTCTCTCCAAACTGCGGTGCAAGAGCAACTTTCCCAGGCCGGCGGCCTTCTCTTCTAAGCTTCTCCGCACAGTTTGGGGTCGGGACGGTCCGGCTCGGACCCAGGTTGTGGGATACTTCGCTTGCTAGGGCTTGCCGAAAGCAGGGACGAGAGCTGGCCCTGCCAGGACGTGCGGATGAACGACGTTCCCGTGCGGACGTGGTGTCAAGAGCAGGGCACGGACTGGCAGTCGATCTTCTGCGAGAGAGTCATGCACTGCGTCTTGAGGGCCGACCAGCGCTGCCGAGAAGAAGTTTGCTTTGGAGCTCCTGTTGCAGACCAGACGACCTGTCAAACACGTTGCTTGGAATATGCCAAGAGCTCCACGCGGGCAGTGGCTGTGTCCTTTACTCAGTCCATGGAAACCGAGTGCGAAGAGTTTCAGGACTCCCAGCAAAGCGCCTCAGACTTCAATGCCACAAGCCTGCTGGACTCGGTGGGCTCGGGAATTCCAAGCGAGTGTACGGATTTGGCGCTGCAGCAGCTTCAAATCTTCAATACGATGGCGGAGCAGCAATCGTCCAGATCCCAAGATCAATGCAGTTTTGCTACTCTCGCCGTGAACAACGTGGACTTTATCGCTGGCATCTCGACGGATGTAGCATACATGCACATGTGCACATCGATTTAATTTGGCGGTTCAGACTCCGATGACATCAGGCATGTGTGAAGAGTTTTGTGCGGGCTGGTTTGTGCAATGACAGGTCTGCAGACCCACCAACCCACATCCTTGCAGTCTAGCCACAAGAGGTGGTTCATCAGGAGTGGGTGAGGGAACAATCGATGATATTGCCACCAAATGGCATTCGATTAACGAGAAATGCTAGAGGTTGTGGGAATTCACATGATCAAAACGCCATAATTGAGCTTGATCGTCATAGAGGTGTACACTCCAAGGGCTGCACCTTCAGTTCGGCTGTAGGTTCTAAGAAATCGGCCCTTGGCCGGTTTTGACGCACATCCCAAATTCCTGCGCGGCAGGCATCTTCGTCGGGGTGGAGGCAGTGGGCCGGCCTCTGCATCCCCCGCTCATCCCCATCAAAAGCCACAAATCCGAAACCCCCCAAAAACTGCTCCCATCCTAGGAGCTTCGGGGGAACCCTAAAATCCCGGAAGGCCGTGAGTTCCACAAAGCCCCTAAAAGGCCCTAGATCCCCGAAAAAATCCCTCTGAGAGGCCGGAGCCTTGCTGATCCCCTCCGCACTCAGCGTGCTCGGCGGTCTCGCCGAGTCGCTCTACAACTTGAAGGCCCTCTTCCCCGGGCACCAAGAGGCCGAACAACAGAGCTTCTTAGGCCCTAGAGGGGTTTTTGGGTAGACTATAGGGGGGCCATAAAAAAGAGCTTCTTAGGCCCTAGAGGGGTTTTTGGGTAGACTATAGGGGGGGCCATAAAAAGAGCTTCTTATGCCTTAGAGGGGTTTTGGGTAGAATATGGGGGGGCCATAATGATTACCTCTGATTGTTTTTTTGTTGGGGAGGGGTCCTTATTATAAGTTTAGCATCATGAGCGTCAGAACTTTATTCTAATTATTACGGCCCCTATATAGGTTCCTTTCACCAACATGATATGCCAATAGTCTCGCTTCTATTTAGTGGCTAGTAATTATTCTTTACTGCTGTATAGTAGCCACTGTGTGTAGTCGTCACTATTGTCGTTCCATGAAAGGTCCCTTGGGTGCTGATACTGACTGCATTCGAGTCGGTCCCCATCTACACCGCCTTCTTGCGACTTGGAGCATTCTTCGGGGCTTCCGGGTTCGTGTTCTTCGGCTGGTCGTTGGGAGTCATGCAGGGAATGTTTAGGGAGTTGCAGCGAGCATTCTGCATGCAAAGTAAGAGTGAACGATCGCACTCATGGTATGTCCGGGAGCACTCGGGTATGGAAGGGGGCATCTGTCGCCTCTCAGGGCTGTGATCCAGCAACTTATGGGGAACGTCCTCCTGGCAGTCGCCTGCTGCAGCTGCTTCGGCAGCCATTACTTATCCTAGCCATGTCGCCTTCACGTGAGTCGCTGCAGTGTACACCTTGTTGCAGTAACCGTCCTGGACCTTTGAGGCTTCATCGGCTGGATATTGCTGCCTGCCTTGACGGGTGCCTTAAGCCTCAAGATCAAGCCCGGGACAGAAGGTCGCTGGAAGTTCTATCGAAGAGTGCCTTGGATTCGATGCATGGTGACTTCATGATCTTGTCCATTGATGTGTGGATAAAGCCAAACACGTGCAGCAACGAACCTATGGGATGTTTTGCCCTGAAACAGGTCTGGATTGAATATGGCATGCGCGGGCCGTTGCTTATCGCCATTGGCGTGTCCATGTCTGCGTTCATGAGGGACACCCTTGGCAACGAATTTCTGCAGGGCCGGAACCCCTTCAATATGCTATTTTTTTCAGCGTTGAACTATTTTGCGCGCAAAACGTTGACGGCCGTAGCTGGCACAGATGTGATGATTTCAACTTTTTTGCAGAGTCGGTACTGGCGATCTCGTTTCACGGTGGAGGAGCGGGCAGTCAACGAGGATGCTGGGACTGTTATTCGAGCTTTTCCCCCTCACCACAGCCTGATCCCTAGAATCCTAGACCCCCGACCCAGTAAGCCCTGAACCTCCTCAGGATCGCATGGAGGCACTCTCGCCCATCATCCTTTCGATGCACACACGTCCGACGGTGGATGCAAACGAGATCAAGGTCACAACCTCTCCCGACGACGACCCTCAGCCCAAAGTGGTAAGCCTAGGCAGCCAGCCCGTTATACTATGATTATATGATTATATTAACGAGCCCGCAAACATAGTTTTGGTAATAATTAAGGCCCCAAAGACTCAGCTGAGGCCCCGCCGTCCGCTAAGCCTCAAGGCGAGGTCACGCCCAAAGGCGCCATTTCTGAGTCTCGCATCGTCGTCTCACCCCATGAAGTCCGAACCGACGAAGTCGCCGAAGAGCGTTCCGACGGCGCGGATCTTCCTGAACAGCAACACGGTACAAATCCGACATCTTTGCTCTCAGGTGGTGCAGCCCAACCACTGGCCTAAGCACAACTGAAAAAACAAAGCACTCTCGGGATCTCATTGCGCTTCTGACCGCGATCCTCGAGTGGAGGCACAAGGCTACATAGCAAGGGCTGAGCATCATTCTGCCGAGTTTCATGCCTGCACGCGACTTTGATTCACAAATGTGCACGTAGGGGGTGAGCTAGGCGTTGTAAACAGTGTGCGGTGTGATGCTATGCTGCTATGCGATCACACCCGCACATCTACCAATTTGCCTGATCTCCGAACGTACCTTGGTCGTGTGTCTGTGTATGTTTGTGTCACCCTAGCTTTCTGCAGCCGTGAAGGCACACGAGCAGACATGCTAGTCCAGGATTCCGACACGGCAGAGCCACAGCCACGGCCCAGAGTTCCCCGACTGGTTCAGACTCATACACTCATACGGAAGCTGTCATGAGCCCTCCGTAAACTCCTCCCTTCCTCCAACTGAAGTTTCCGCAAGCTGGCCGTGGGGGCCTGAGAAAGACTTGCAAAATTGCATCTCCATCTCTCCGATGGAGTGACAGCTCACGGTGTTGACCATGTTCTGCGGAATCTCATGACGGTCAAATGACTCTTCGGCTGAGCTGGGTCGAGTATCTATGTTGATGCTGAGGGGAGTTTAGCCGAGAGTTTACAGGGTCAACGCCCGCACTTCACAAGATTTCACAAGCTTCGAAGACAATAGAGGTCAGAACAGTTGGTCATAGTGTTGGCTGAGGCAATGCCGGAAGCCCTGGCCGCGCTGGCGCTGGCAAAGATGTCCCCGGCCGTGGCTTGGCAAAAGCAGCGAAGTTCAGCGAGCCGTCCTCATACAGTGTGGCGAAGATCAGGGACTACCCTGCTAAGTCTGTGGCAACCCCAATGCCTGAAGGCAGCAGCCATGTTTCCCGGTACCGGCGACGAGGTGCGTCATGTCATGGCCCGCCTCTTAAGGTCCAAAGGCCCAAATATCTGCAGTTCAAACGACCACTCCTCCGCATTCCGAGGATCAAGAGTTCCACATCTTCCCGGACCCGACGAATCGCGGGTTGCTCACGGTCACAAGTCGTACAGCATGTCAGAATCTAACGTGGTTCGTACATTCTGTGTGGCACGTGTGAGGAGCAAAGACAAGAGCTCTTTGATCAGGCCAAGGACAGTTGTGATGATCAAAGTTTTTCGTAGGGAGTACAACAGGCGTGCAAGGTGAATGTCATTAAGCACACAGCAGCACGTGTGCGTGGCACGAGTTGGCAGATATGGACCAGCGCTTGTATGGCCACTACGCGAATCGAGCACCAAGTGACAGTTCCACTACCACCACCACCGACCAGTCGCCCACGGGGCAGGAAACGATCATCGCAGCTCGCTCCGCGATGTTTGCACCGGATGCCGCCGCTGCTGGGGACTGGGAACGCCCCTGCACTGCCGTTTTTGGCCAGGGCGACAGGATCCGACAAGATGCATTTTGAGAGCCTGTTTGAGGCCTCTGCGGCCCCCTCGGCCTCGATGCCGGCGCCAGAAGTCGCGCAGCAAGGAGCTGCGGCCTCGGATCTCACTTGGCCTCTTGTGTTCCTCGACACGAAGCTACTGCCGAAGCGGCCCTGATGTCGCAAGACCAGCTGTGGCCGTTCTCTGCAGTTGTATTTCTTGTTCAGCTCTCAAGGTGTCGGCGTCGGTCGTGGCTGCTTGGACGGCTTTCATGGAGTTCACCAACTCGTGAGCCGCCAAAACACCGCTAGTCCGCTCATCCGCTAATCCTTCTAGTAGCATAACATGGCATTCTCGTAGTCGAGTTTGGAACTGGCAGGTACTTTAATTGCGGTAACGACAAGCACTTCCGCTCGTCGGGGGCTTCAGTTCCTTAGGGCGGTTGCACCACTTTGCAGCATGCGCTGGACTAAGAATGCTGAGATAGCACAATCATCATAGATCATCATCCTTTGCCAAACTTCTCCTCAGACATGGTCGAGTTGCACCGAAGCAAAGCTGTGGGAATTTGCTGGCACCTCCGGTGGACAGCGGCGCCAGCTGCGCGCTGCCTCTTGCACTCAGGTCCAGCCAGCCTTCGTGAAAGCGAAGATGAGTCTGGAAGCTTCGGACAGCCACCGGGAACTTCCGAAGCCAAAGCTGGAACCGTTTTGGAGGCTCAGCACCGAGCCACCAAACATGATCCGATTGGGCCTCCAGACCGGAAGCTGGTGAAGCAAGGTGCAAAGCAGGGCTTTTGCCTCAATTCCCCCTCGACGGAATGTGAAATGCAAGCAGTTTCGCTGAACTGCATCTAGTGCGACGAGGAGCCGGCATCAGAGGAAGACTTTTGCAAATGAGGCAAGGCGGTCGCGATTCCCATGCCCTCGGCTCAAACCTAGCCCGCAGCTGCCCGCAGCACCTTCCTCAACGAAGTTCGACTCGTGAAATCCGGCCATGTTCGGTGTACTTGCGGTCCTGTCGATGCTCAGCGTTGGCTGTGGCCTGGTGCTGACCGACAAAACCCAGCCTGCGGTGAATGCCAGCAAGGACGACACTGTGGCGCTGGCGGCTGAGGAGACCGCAGCAGGAGACGATGAAAACAACAAGGAAGAGCTGGCACAGATCGCCCAACAAGACAAAGAGGGCAACATTCTCAGCGAGGCTGACGAAAAGCAGCTCCAGGAGACGCTGAAGGACGAGAAGGAGGGCGCCGACGACGAGGAGAATCCAGAACCCACCGTGGAGACCGCAGCGGAGGAGAAGGTTGCAGCAGCTGAAGAGACAGCCGAGTCTGACGAGATGATGGATACAGCGGAAGACGAGGCCAGTGCGGCTGATATGGGTGATGACTTGGATGATGAGGCTGAGGCCCCCAAGCCAAAGTCCGCACCCGCTGCGCCGAAGGCTGCGCCCAAGAAGAGCAAGTGAGCCCGCATCGCAACGGGCGCTAGAGCTCAGAAGCTGACCATGTACAGGCAAGTCATAGGACCTCGCGAGCGACCAGGCCTGCCGTGGACAAAGGCGAAGGCATGACGATGTTGAGTGACCAAAGCATACGACGTACTACAGCAACGTACTACAGGTAGTTCAGGATAACATCATCCCATGACGCGCCCAGCGCCCGATTCTTTGTTGTGTGGCTGTTTCCTTTTGCCCAAGCTCAGCTGGGTTGCCTGCAGCACCTTCCTCAACGAAGTTCGACTCTTTGCGCGAGATCCGGCCATGTTCCGTGTACTTGCGGCCCTGTCGATGCTCAGCGTTGGCTGTGGCCTGGTGCTGACCGACAAAACCCAGCCTGCGGTGAATGCCAGCAAGGACGACACTGTGGCGCTGGCGGCTGAGGAGACCGCAGCAGGAGACGATGAGAACAACAAGGAAGAGCTGGCACAGATCGCCAAGCAAGACAAAGAAGTCATTGTTGAGAGCGAGGCTGACCGAAAGTATTTTGAAGAGACGGCGAAGGACGAGAAAGAGGGCGCCAACGATGACGAAGAGGAGCTTCCAGAATCCAGCGCGGAGATCGCAGCAGAGGAGAAGGTTGCAGCAGCCGAAGCGACAGCCGATTCTGACGAGATGATGGATACAGCGGAAGACGAGGCCAATGCGGCTGATATGGGTGATGAGGCTGAGGCCCCCAAGCCAAAGTCCGCACCCGCTGCACCGAAATCTGCGCCCAAGAAGTGAGCCCGCATCGCGACGGGCGCTAGAGCTCAGAAGCTGACCATGTACAGGCAAGTCACAGGACCTCGCGAGAGACCAGGCCTGCCGTGGACAAAGGCGAAGGCATGACGACTACAGCTACGTACTACAGGTAGTTCAGGATAATATCATCCCATGACGCGCCCAGTGCCCGATTCTTTGTTGTGTGGCTGTTTCCTTTTGCCCAAGCTCAGCTGGGTTGCCTGCAGCACCTTCCTCAACGAAGTTCGACTCTTTTGCGCGAGATCCGGCCATGTTCCGTGTACTTGCGGCCCTGTCGATGCTCAGCGTTGGCTGTGGCCTGGTGCTGACCGACAAAACCCAGCCTGCCGTGATTGCCAGCGAGGACGACACGGTGGAGCTGGCGGCTGAGAAGGCCGACGAAAGCAAGACACGGAACCCAGTCCCTCCCTCTGGGCTGAGCAAGAAGGATCAGGACGATTTCCAAGAGACGATGCTGGATGAAGGCGAAGAAGAGAAAGATGAAAAGGATGATACCACAGAGGCAAAAATCAAACAGCAGGAGAAGGAGGCTGATGTCACAAACACAAAGGACTCAGATGAACCGATGGAGCCCGCGGAGGGTGACGAGTGAGCAAGACCGAGTGAGCCACAGAAGTGGTGCAGAAAAAGAAAATGGATGGCCAACCATGAAGCGATATCTCGTCCAACATTGATGAATACTGCATGTTGTGCAGCTTGTGCCGTTGATGCCAGCTCTGTGCACAGAACCCAAGCAACCCGAAGTATGACACCGACAGTTTCATCTTCGTGTCGAGCCACACCGGACTGGGTAGCGCCATCCTTACATGGTGTAGGACCTTTCTCCTGCATGTTGTAGGCTGGTTTACGGCACAAGTTAGGCTTGAGCCATGCTGAGCTGAATCGAATGGATCCTGGCCAACAGACATGGGCCCTCATCCTCAGTTTACACCGGGTGGGGCAGCGGCAGCGGTTTCAAGACTTTCAACTTATCTGCAGCAGAATGTGAGTTCCCGTTATTCTTGGTGAAAATCACCTGCATATTGCTTTGGCTCCCTTGAGCCCATAGTGTGGTTCCGGCAAGGTCAGAATGCGCAGAAGGTGCCAGCGAGGCAGCATCAATATTTGTCTTGAGAGGGTGAGCCGTGTCTCCCACCGACTCTGCGAGTTCGTGTCAGCACAGCATAGCAGCTCCGCAGGCAGATGTGGCAGGACTTCGACAAGGTCCGAATCCCAGTAGACGATGTTCCGGATGCAACAATCACAGGGACTGGCTCGGCCGTCTGCAATAAACGGTGAGGATGGCAGCGGTATCCTTGAACGGGAGGAGGTTGACAGCCTGCTGCTTTCTCCTCAGATTTCCAGTCACTCAGAGAGCACGACAACAGAACACTACATAGTGCACTGAAGCGTGCAGAAAGAAAAAGCACATCTAAAACCATGCCCTGCATCAGAAACTTTTTCTGCGAATTCCAAAGTCTCTAAAGGAAGCACATCTGGAAGACGTACCAGGCCCCGCTCCCAGCGCTTCAGCAGGTTTTGGGGTCCAGACTTGCGAGATGTCTGCAGATTGCAGGTTCAAAAGCCGCTGTCTCCGGATGTCGTCAAGAACGTCCTGGAGGAGTTGGACAAAAGCAAGGCCCCTCCCTCGAAAGGGACAGCAATCAAAGTAGGCTGAGTGAGCACGGCAAGCCCATCACAACGGCCGCAGCAACCTGCGGCCGCGGAGGCGACGGTTCCAATCAAGTAGCGGCTTCATTGCCTGTCGTTCGACCTCCCTGCCCATGTTCCTGAGATGTTTGTGCCAGGATGGCAAGATCGTGCAGGCAGAGTTTGAGGCCGGTCCTTGGGCAGATTGCTTTGGGTTCCAACCGAGAGCTCAGAGCGGTCTCTTTGAAGATATTTTGGAACGTTTTTGGGTCGTGCTCCTTGTTCAAGCGGGCCGTGAAACCCCTTTCTTCCATAAGAAAAGTGAAGATATGGCAGCGCTTCGCATTTAATGTGTGCACATGACCATGCTTGAGAGTTGGAATAATTGCATGCCTACGTCTTCACATGCCATGAGAGATGACCTCTAGAGACGGTCGCCCTTGTAGCCGAGCAGGATTTTCTGTCGAGATGTGAGGGGTTTAGGGGCTTCGGACTGACAATGGCTGACATGTTGCTACCAGCCTGGCAGTCGGACTGCGAGCAGCCGGCAAGGACCTCTACGACGACCTTTGGGAGGAGATGTCGCAGATGTACGCGGCATGCCTGGCTTTGCTCGCAATCGGTACTCCGAGATTGGCGGTTTGGCTGAGGCGAGTTCCGCTCCTGGCAAATCAGAGCCCGAGGTGGGCGCCTCAGGGCGCAGCCGCAGCCGCTGAAACCCGGCAGCCATGCGAACCATGCGGGGGCCGGGACACTGAATAACAATTAGTAGTAGCTTCCTCCTACGGTCCGTACAAAAGTCATAGTCATAGTAGAACATAGCCCAAGACGTGATTGAAAAGTACTGAGGCCCCTTTATCAGTTGTCGGTCAGAACACAAGTCCCTATGCTCGGATTTCTTTCAACGGCTCTCTCTCTCTCTCTCTCTGCCCCAAGCGTCCCGCATGGAACAGCTCCCAATGCCAGGCGAAGAGCACAGGAGCAAAAGGCCAGTCCCAAGTGTCAGCGGAGAAAGAGATAAAGGTTTGCACTATACTTATATACAGCCACTGGATGACTCTGATGGTCGGCCAACGGGGCTGAGAGGGCTTGACGTGCAGTGAGATGTCTGAAGGCTTTTCTCACGGGTTGGCAAGATTTCCCATTCAATCATTCAGTTGTCATGACCGTTGAGGCATGCACGAAATTGTGGGCAGCACATTGTCGCCCATTTTGCATTTCAGTGCAAGGCCCTGTAAGTGTGCGACGATGACCCAGCACATACATGCATCCATATACGATATTAAAGCCTGCTCGTCAGTTCCCCAAATGCCGTATTCTCGTTTTTATTATTAGTTTATTTTTTGCTTTGCGTGATCCCCCAAGTCTAAACTTAACTTGTGCATGCAGCACGGCGACACGGCAGAAATGAGACCCGAAGAGGTGCGTCCAGTCCCAAAGGTGCCGGCCCTGGCATGGACTGGGCTTGTCAGAGATTTGGAGAAGCTGGGAATTGGAAGGGTCTCCTTTCATCTGTTGTTTGAGTTCAGCTCTCGGGTGTGCAGAACATAGGATATTCCAGTAAGGTAAGTATCGTTACATATAACTTACCTACATAAAATTAGAGTCGATTCCAGTAAGGTAACTATAGTTACATCTGACCTATATTACAGTCTGACCTTGGAGCGAAAATCCCACCGAGTGATTCTGGAGACCTCCACGACGCAGACGACGACGCAGACCCAATCATGATTTATTCAACAACACACATGCGTGTGCTCACAACAATTGGTCGGCGAAAGTCTGTTTGGGGTTTAGAACCTAAGGTTTAGGGTCTAGGTTTATTACTATTGTTGTTGCATTTATTCGTTGTTCATGTTATAATTGCTGCTGTTGCTCAGGCTGCTGCTGCAGGCTGCTGCTGCTGCTGCTGCTGCTGTTTCTGCAGCAAGCTAGCATCAGCAGCAGCAGCCGTAGTAGACGTAGTCGAGGTACGAAGACGCCGCCACGGCCGGAGCCACCGAAAGCCAAGAGGCACAGCAGTCCCAAGGCGAGCGCCAAGGCCAGCATGTTCTGGAGGTTTTTGAGCAGCTTGCCTGAAGAGAAGCCGTTGCTAGAAATAGTCTATGGGCAAGGGCAGGGCCGACGGAATTATGAAAGTGATCAGGTGAGCAACTGCCGCTCTCGTTGTCATTCGAAGGTCAGAGAGACACAATTCGCGTAGCAACTGGGCCCCCCAAGTGTATTAACACGAGCCCGAGCCCTCGCGTGATTAAGGGCTGTATACCCGCAGATGTAAGTCATGAGATGTTGTAGTCTTGCGTAGCTTCTTTGTCCATGGCTGCCGGGACTGTTGACTTCAGCAGGTTCCCAACAACATCCGGTGCCCCCACTGCTCCTTCGAGATAGATCCACGTCAGCTTCACAGGAAGCCCAGCTTGTTTTGCTTTGGCTGGGGTTCTGAAGACGGTTTCGAAAGTTGGAGGTTGTGGAGCCAGGACGCACCCTACCATGTTGCAAGGAGCCTTGTAGGAGATGGTGTCTGCCATAGGCACCAATACAAAGAATACGCAAAGGAGTGCTGTGCACGTGCAGTGATCCTGACCACAAGTCTGGCTTGAGCAGTGGCAGATGCACATGCTGACACGACCTGCTGCCAGGCTGAGAGTTCCACCGGAGGCTCGTCTACGCTGCTCAAGTAGCAGGAGCAGCAGCAGCAGTAGCAGTAGCTAGTACTAGTACTACCACCCACTACCTACTCGGTACTCACTATTCCTACTGCTGTTGTGCCTGCTACCGCTACTGCGCTGCTAATGCTGCGGTGGTCGGTGCGACCAGAACTACAGCTAAGGGAAGTACGGACGAGCCCCTAAATCGTTTGTTCCCACTCCTTCACATCGCTTTGCTTGCCAAGCTGCTAGTCCCGGTCACCAGAGTTGTATGCATGGCAGGGCGGTGCACTGCCGCCGGATGCATGGAGAGAGTTCAAATTCAGTACGATGCGAATAAGTCACACTACGGATACAACACTTGGTAGGACCGGGCAGGCTAAAGCTGGAAGGCAAGAATACGATCTACGTCGCAGGAGCAACATCAGCAGAAAGAGTTCAGATTCAGAGTCACGAAGGCAAGTCCGATACAAGAAAACGTGAAAAGGATATCCGACGGCAGCAGTCATCGATGGTCAAAAAAGCTTAGCTGCAAAGTTTATGCGGTAATGCAACAGGTAGTTATAGATGCTATTATCGACCTTGAAACAGGCAGGCAGTCTGGCAAATGACACCACATCATGATACCGCCAGCTTATGAAACCTAAACTGTAAGCCGGTTCAAGCAAAGCGTAAACTGTGCATGGGCATTGCACAGGCTTTGGGCGTGGTTCCGGGTCCATGGCAAAGACAGCTGAACGATGGAGGCATCAGCTGCATAACGGTGCCGAAAGAAGCGATCATGCTAGTAGTGAAAAGCGACTTAGACCTGGAAGTCGTTGCGTCAGGAGGCTACGAGATCACTCCGGCAGCCATCGCCGTCGGGACCTCAAGTGGGGCTTTGGATCCTTTTTGGAGCCTAGAGAAAATCAGGCACCCTCGCTCCCACCGGGCACTATGCTCCATGGCCAGGCCTTGGATCTGGTGATTCGGGTGGTTTGGGGGCCTTGGGGTTCTGGATGCCAGCTTTGCACTCAGGTGCCGAGCTCCTTCTTTCATACCTCCCACGGTCGCCTGCCTAGAGCTTCTTTAAGGCACCCGGGCCAGAACCGCTGCTGCGAGCTGAGGTTGGTGGGCGCAGCCCCCGGGCGCCGGCTCCGGTCCTTGAGCTCTGCGGCCTCACACCAGGACCACAACCGACGCGGAGCAACCCTTCAAGAAATTGTGATGGTCGACCAGACGGAGGAGGAGGGTATGAGGGCCTGGAGACGCTTACTTCAACCCATGGACGCTCCACAAACTCTGCGTGCAGGCGAGGAGCCAAAGAAATTGGATAATTCGCAGAGAAGTCCATCTGGATAGTTCAATCGGCCAATAAAGCGGTCCATCATGCTGAGATCGCTTTTGGCCTCCTAAGATTCTGATATTTACATAAATATGAAATTTATATATGAATGATTCTCATAATTAATTGAAATTTTGCTTTAAATCGATCCAGGCAAATGATATAGTGATAAGGATATCGAATTTTTGAATAATGAGTAATGGTGATATAGGGATTGACATGATAAGAGTGTAGTTTGTATTTCGAGATTTTTGCAATTTGCATGACATTGTAGGAGGATGCGATTTAATTACTTAGAGATTCTGCGAAATATCGAAAAGGCGAGAGTTGTTATAACCTCGAGAGTCGGCTCTAGGAATGATTTTCTACGTGTAGAAAATATAATGATATATAGAATATGCTAGCAAGCAATATATATTATATTCTGAAATATATTTTATTCTAAATTATTTCTAAATATAAGGGATGATATATTTCTTTATTGGGATAACAAAAATCGAGTTCTGATATTTTTCTATTTTTTATATTTTAAATTTTCGTAAATATTTTGATAGGGGTTTAGAAATTGATATTCTTTTTTATATTTCTATTATTTTTTATCCCTCTATATTTTAAAATTACTTCATTAATGAAGATGATTTTGAAGGGCTTTTGTAGGAATTTAATAATTGATATAACGGTTCTCATCTCCTGCTCTCCAGAATAAGAGCAGGGATAGCGGCTTGAAGGAATATCGCGCTTTATTTCCACCAATACCCGCCTTCTTGATACGATTGAGGATATCCATAGAAGTGCTACTACTGTTGATGATATAAATCCTGCATTACCTTAAGGACTCTAAACTATGGGAATTATCGTATAATCCTAATTATGGGTAATGCAGGATTTATATCATCAACCGTATCTTCCGAAGCAATTCTCTGAAAGAAATCTTATTTTGAATTGCGGATCCACTTCTTAATGGCCTGGGAGATATCTCTTTTAGCCGAGGTCGAGCGTTAATAAAAGAACCCTTATTTTGCTATCATTCCCTCAAAATGATAATTATGGTCTTCCCTCCATTATAGGAAGGCCTTGAATAGAAGATCCTTCTAGAGATCAGCCGATGCCTGATCCTCGCTCTGAAATCTATTTTTTCTTTTCCTTTATCCCAGATCAGGTCAGTGATATAGGAGACCCTTGGTCTATGGATCGGTTTGATAAAGTATTTCTTTATGATTGTATGCAGGACGTCATTGAAATAATAATATTCATCCGGGTGCACCGACCATTATCTGAGGTTGGTAGCTCAGCACGACCGTCGCGATAATATCCTTGCCCACGATAATTATCATCTTATCGATATCATATTTTGGTCGCCAGAGATATCGGACTCCTCGTATTGATTATATGCTTCCTCTGAATTTAGCCAGTTTTGACCAGTGGTCATCTCCCTCCCCATCAGAGTCAAAATTAGTGAATATGGAGATGCTGGCCTCGTGGATCTCTATCGTCCCTTTTTGGAATACGTAATTAATCTTGTGCTCAAAGTCTTATGGAGGTCGATATATGGGCGATTAATTTCTATAATTCTTAGAGAAGGTCTCTGCAGAGGTCAATAGCTTCCTTCCCAGATATATCTGATTCTCCATGATACAGATCTCCAGTTGCTCCAATAATATTGACCGCCATTCGATTATTCAAGTCGATCCCGTCCAAGATCAAGATCGTCTTTTTGTAGGGCTAGAGCTCGGATCGAAGAAGTCGGAGGAATTATTTTGCCTCCTCCTATTTTCCATTATATGGGTAGTGACCAGAGAAGATAATAATATTGGCATTCTCGGTGACAGTAGAAATTATTAGGAGACGAGGGGAATTATAATAGATATATATATATATATTATTTATTTTGTCACTAAGGATTAAGTAGTAAACTTGATCAGGCTCCGGGTCTTGCTCAACGAGATTGCGACTCCCCAGTATTTCTCAGCCTTGGCCGATAGATGAAGAAATCTAGATAAGGGACAGAGGCTGGATTTCTAGTTTATCTCCTGTAACAGAATAATACCATATTAGATATTTTGAAATTATTCTTCTATATAGTGATGATGGCCTAACCTATGCCTCGAAGATTATATTAGATCCCTGCTCCCTATTATAAGATGCCCAGGTAGTAGGAGTCACTTGTTGTGCAATCAAAATAGTGGCACGTCCGTGCTCACTTTGATCTAAATAAAATGATGGGCCCTCGATCCATGGATATGCACGGGGGCATTATGAAGAAGTCAGGAGGGAGAGCCATAAGAGATCCTCGTAGAGCAGGATATCCGTAATCCGAGAAGGTGGGGCAGCAAATCATATTCTATATGCTGTTGTTTTGGCTACTAAATCAGGCAATTTATTGAAGGGCTCCCCAATCTGAGCCTTAATATGCTAGTGGTGCATTGGATGGCTCAGCATGTTGTCGACCCATCTTTATAGGTCCCTTATTTGCTGCGAAAATTGAGATATATTCGATGATTCTCCCTTTTTGGGAGACCTGTCGTAAAGCAGTCGTAGCTTGTACAAGCCAGGGTAGAGCCGCTCCGATGGCCAGTTGATTATTTTTTATTGCAGGAGGCACTTCGAAAGATCAAGGGAAATAATTATTTCCCTGCGTTTGCTCTCGCAATATTCCGAAGAGAGTTGTGGCCGTGGATATCGTCAAGATGAGGACTATATCGTAGTCGCCGCGCTTCTTTGACTCCAAGCATGAACCATCGGTGTAGATATAAAGGTCAAGCGGCTCCGTCGGGACCCTGGAGCCGAGCAGAACTGACCAATGCACCATTTCATTGAAATAATCCATAGTAGCAGGCTTGACTTCAATCCTGCTGGTGCCAGCTTGCAGCCTTATAGATGACTAGGGTCGCATCATTGTCAAAGCCTTGCTCTGTCTTGTTGGCATTGCAATTAAGTCCTGCGTGAGGCCGTAATGAGGGATTGGTCCATAGTCTATAATATTGATAATCATATTTTCCTCCTGGGTGCCTTCATCCTCCTCAATCTCCGGGAGAATTATCTTCCTCCTTAGACTGCGACTTCGGTCCCCATTGACAGGCTGAGGCGGGGGAGGACCAAAGGGTCCAAGTCCTCTAGGTAGCTCCATATCTGAAAAATCAGAAGAATGGGGGAGCACGTCTGAATAGCTGCTGCTCTCGTCTCCGTCCTCGCTATCGTCATGATCGAGCTGCTCATTTTCCCCTTCTTCTTCTGAATTGGACTCAAGTTTTTGCAAGAAGAGCTCGATTACCTCAGTATTAGTCACGGCCCATGCGGGGATGGCTCATCTCCATTCATTATAATATCATATCCTGGGACATCATCAATTTATCAATTTAGAATCTTTCCATATAGTCTTGGGGAGTGAAGAGGGGCATCGACAGCTAGATTCATTATAGAAAGAAGCCGAGACCTCACAAGTCGAGGAAATCCCTGATGGCGTCTCCCGTCTCCGGTTGGTCTGGCTCCAGAACTGCAAGCTGATCTTATCTTACGACTAGTAGATTCAAGATTTCTGACCTTTGTAATAGACATATGGGAGATAATTTCGCCGTACTCTAACTCCAAGGCCTCTTCGGTCGCGATTTCAAGGGGTCTGTCGTTATCAGAATAGATGAGCTCGATCACGTCATCTTCGGCCGACTAGTAAATCGTAGCCCTTCTCTTGCTCCCGGCGATTGAAGAATCGGATTCTATCTCCTGATATGCTGGGGACTAGGCTCTAGTGCGTCAGATCATATAGGAGAGCCTCTTCTATTCATAATATATATGACGCCTCCTGTAGTCGAATCACCAATTGGGCGGCAATCCATGACCAGGCGCGTTTTCTAGATCCAATTTCTTATTAGGAATCAGCCATCGTGGGCGGGCAATGAAATTTGCAAAATAATCATTGAATTGAGTGATCGTCGATTGGGAGTCTTCGACGAAAAGTGGCATCTTTACAATTGCTTCCTTGATGGTGGTCATGAGTCGTCCCGCTGACAGAGGAAATATGAGATATAAATCAATGAACTCATTCTCAGAGAAAAGGATCGCCGCCCAAATTCTCTGCCTCTTCAATGGCGACCTCCGCTGGCCCAGGCGGCTGAGGAACTTCCCCTGATGGAATAATCGAGCAGATCGGTAACGCCACTTCACCAGTGCCACATCTCTATCTGTCTCATTATTTGGCTGATTGCTTATCTTTGATTATGGATCTGGCTATCTGATTTTTTTTATGAGTAGAGCTCTATATCTATTTTCTTATATAAATAAAAGCTTTAAATATTTTGTTATATACGGATTTTGCTTTTTAGAATATTTCATATGGTTTCCTATAGATAGGCTAATTTAGTTGATCGAGTGCCTATATATGAATTTTTGAATTATTTTCTATGTCTACATATGTCGGCAAGGATTCAGAAATTATTGATATTAATGTTTATTTCAGAGATATGCCAGTCTGATTATCTCTGATTCGAAGATTCTTCATGATATATATGGGGAATCTTCTAGCTTTTCAATAACAAAGGAAATATTCAACCTGATAGGAGCCACGAAACCGAATGCAGTTACGCGCCCGATAGCAGCAGGATTATTAATTCTAGGTTTCGCGACCACGACCCCCTCCATCCCCGTAACTATTGACACTTTTGGAATGCGAGAACCAGAAAATGACGACAGATCTGTGTTTCGCGACGATTTTCGGCTCCCAGTCAAATCCGGCACTCGCGAACGCTGCGCACGCATTCCGCGTCAACTCCTAACCCCCAGACCCCCAATCTTCAAACGAGAACCCTTCTGCTACACATAAGAGACCAGTCCAAAAGTGACGACAGTTCTGTATTTCGCGACCACGACCCCCCTCATCCCTGTGATTATGGGCACTTTGGACGCAACTATAAGGGTTGTAGTCCATTTCCCGTCTAAAAAATCTCATACTCTCTACCCCTGCCACGATTTCGCGAGGTTTTTGCCACCAAAAAGCTCGCATAGTCTGCGCCTGCCACGATTTCGCGATCTCTAAAAACTCTACGCTTGCCACGACTTCGTGACGTTCGAGCCGCCGAAAGCCCTCGTAATCTGTCTCTGCCACGATTTCCGATATTTCGAACGATGCCGAAAATTCCAAATCCCCTTAGACTGCGCGATTCCAAACATACGTCCAGCGGCGCCGAGGAGCCGAATGGTGTGGCCCTGCCACGATTTCGGAGCCCTCGAGCGACTCCAAACCTCAAAAGCGAGCGGGATTGTGGCGAGAGCATACGATTTCAGACCCAAACCACGCACGATACTGTGGCGACAGCACATTTCAGTGACGAGCAGGTCGCGAAAGTGCACGTGCACGCACACCGTTCGCACGCAACTGACCATCGAAGGGCATGATACCCAGGATACGTTCCAGGAACAACTGCATGCAGATGATAAAGAACCGTGCCTGCACCACTGGATTGCGAGCAACACTGCGGCGAGAGCGCATTTCAGCGACGAGCAGGTCGCGAAAATACTATAGTTTACAATGAATTCCGCGATTTCGAAATGACGCTCGTCAAGAATTTTCGTGCAAATTGAGCACAGCAATACAACGGGAGCGTCCCTCCCAGCCAAATCCGGGACTCGCTGACGCTTGCAGACGCTTATGAACGCTTGCAGACGCTTATAGACGCTTGCGTACATTGCATACATTTCAAATGAGAATCTTTCTACTACACATTCGAGGAAATTAAATCGAGATCATAAATCTTGAATATAATGCTATTAATTGCAAATATACTATATATGAAATAATAATTATAAATATATGAAAAATTAAATAAAATCATGAAATAAATATTTATATTTATTTGATATTATATTAAAAACTATAAATCAATCTTGAAAATTATATTTTTCTTAAAAATTACGCCGACGACGATCCCAATCAGAATATATCGAATCATATCGTTTCAAATTAGAATATATTGGAATCTAATTATAAAGGGAGGTCAATAGGAGCCCAGCCCCACCGCCGCGACTATTTATTCCAAGAGAAGAGGTATAGGATCAGTCCCGTCGCCACGACCATCCGACTCAGGAGCCCAGACAAGAAATAAGAAGGAGAATACAAAAAGGAATATAATAAAGGGAGCCTAATAAGGCCTTGCATCGCCGCGGTCAATTGGCCACGATCCATCCATCCCACCCGATAATATCCATCCCATCTAGGAAGCCAGAAAAAGAACATAAAGAGAGCTCATAATCTAAAAAATACCAAGGAAGATCAATGAAAGCCCAGCCCGTCGCCGCGTCCCACTCATCCGAGCCAGAAATAAGAAGGGAGCCCAAAAAATAAAAAATAAAAAATGCCCATTAATGAAGGGAATATAATAAGAACCCAGCCCCATCGTCGTGGCTCATCTATTCGACCCAAGAACCCAGATACCCACAACAAGAATTTGCAAAAAAAAAAAAAGCCGGAATTCATAATAGTCACGGGCGCCAACCCTGAGGGATTGAGAATACTATTTATTAAGAAATAGGAAGGGACGCCAAAAATATAATAGAAAGGGAACCGACGGGGAAGCGAACTCAACGGGAGCTGCCCCCGTCGCCGTGGCGACCAAAACCGAGAAAGGGAATATGAGGTCGATCCATCCTGCCCTGGGACGCAGGAACCCAGCAAGAGAATATAAAGGGAGTCGACCAAGATACCAGCCCGTCGCCGCGGCCCGCCCATCCGTCCGGGAATCCAGAAAGGAAATAGAATGGGAGCCTATAAAACCAAAAAAGAAATATAAAGAAAAATATTAATTGAGAGTACGGGAATGGCGTGCCGGTATTCTGTTTTACTGTTCCCGTCACATCCCCGGATCGCTGTGAGTGCTTGGAGTACTAGTAAAGATCACTGCATCCAGGCTGGCAAGGGCACCCCGGCTTGACCGGGAGTGCACAGTAGTCAAGTTCGCTGTGCGTCTTCCAACTAGTATTGGAGGAGTTCCAGAAGTTTGTGACGCACCCTGTGCAGTAATCTTGCATCGCTCTTGGGCGTGTGCACAAACCTTGTCAATGGCTTCCTCCACGTTGTCATAGGTGACGTCACAGCCTTGCAAGAACACAGATGCGACGAGCAAGGCTAGCACCAAGACCTCGATGCGAGAGTCAGATTTGGGAGCTCTCTTCAGAATCACGGTTGCCGCCACCATCAGAATGGCCATGATGTACGGCGCCAACCATGGTGCTTGCTGCTGGGGATTGCTCAATGCCAAAAAATCTGTGGCTTGCGGCCCAAACATCTTGTACAGCCAACGTCCTGGCAAGAACAACGCTTGGTAGACGTGAGGCAAATGTTTTTGCCATGGACGTGGAATATATGCATCCCAAACCCAGCTACTGTGGGAGCTGGCCGACAATGTGGCCAGACAAGGTGTATGGATTGAATAGCCCTGTTTTGGCAACCATTCCGGCTGACAAGACTTGGGCAAACTGCAAATCAAGCCCCATGGTCCACACAAATAAACCTTCCTTCACTTCTCCAGCGTACTTGTTCTCAGCGTCGCCCAAGAGGCATGGCACACCCCGTCGTGGACAAACTGGAGGACTCCCGAGGGTCTCGGGACAGCCCGGGACCCTCAGCACACCCCGGGACCCCTCGGGACACTCCGGAACCCCCGGAACCTTCGGGACACCTCGGAACCCTCGGGACACCAGGACACCCCGAGACTTTCGATTCACCCAGACCGGGACCCTCGAAAACGCATCCCGGCACCCTTGGCACAACTGTAAATTTCCAAAAATTTGAAAAATCACACGGCTGCAGTAACACGCAAATCCTTGAAAACAGTTGCTGGTGCGACGCGACACGTCTGTCATAGCAGATCCCCCTAATCCCTTGAAGACAACTGGGGTGAACCGACACAATCACGACGGCATGTGGACAGTTCTCGTTTGTAGTTCTGACGCGCGACTCGCCGGTGGGCATGTTGTGGTGGTGGTTACCTGTGGCATGAAGCAGAATCGGGGGAGCATGTGAATACATGTGTGCACATTTGAAGAGGGGGGGGGCAGGGCGGACAGCAAATCGCCGCACGCACCAACACTAACATACATGGAATTATGATTGCGTATGAATGGGCCACAGGTTAACACATAAGTGCGTTGAACCACATGGAGCTTTTTTGCAGGGATCCACACACAAGTGTGTTGCCACACTTAAAACTTGCTATTTTACCCGAGAGAATTAAAATCGAACATGAATCCAATTCACGTGTATACGTGATATTGCACTTGGCGGCCGTCGGTTCTGGGTTAGCGCATAAGCATTTCGAAACGACAGAGCGAGCTGATTTGCACGTCCGTAAGATGTAGGCATGACAAACGGATATTAGGTGTTACCTGAGAGAACTAACATGCGCCCGCGTTGAAACGGCGAAGTCATGTGATTCTCCACAAGTAGCAACCAACACTCCTGTCTTGAATCAAACGCAACGCGTTTCACGCAAGAGGAAACGACCGCAGAAACGGCATATTCATCAACAGGTTGGCACACAGGTGTGTTGAAACGGAGAAAACATGCTACGTCCCGCGTGGTCCGAATAATTCGAAACGGTTAAAACATGTTCTTCCTGTCCGGGTTATAAACACACGGAGGAACACACAAGTGTGTAGAAACGGGTAGATGGTTTGACATTTGCTTATGTCAACGCCGAACTCCTCCAAGGCTTCTGGTGGTGGCAGGTCTGAAACATTGTGGATTCTTGTCGTCAGAGTCGTTGGGATGGGATGCCTTGCCTTTGGCGCACTTCTTGTCTTTGCATGTCACCGTGACACACCAAGGGTTTGCAGGTCGATTGCCTACCTTTGCACAACCCTGTCGCTCCACAACGTCGCAACAGAACCATAGGGCCAACCATAATTGTCCATCTGCAACGTGTCAGATACCTCGAGCGAAGATCCAGACACGGATAGCAAGCTGCACTGGGATTTTTGAGCATCGCAAAACATCGCTTCAAGGGAGTTCATAGCAGCAAGTTTGTATAACCCGCCCCGAATGCACGGGATTTCCAATTCTGGGCCACTGGACACCGAGGTGCCAGAAATAGTCAGGATCTTGCAAAAAATCCTCTTCGCTTTGGAGCCCAAGTTAAGGCATAAGAGCACTTTGCCTTTGGCTAGCATGGCCATTTCAGCATGTTGTCCCTCCCATTGCATGCCGTCTTGCATGACAAACGTTGGGCTTGAGGTGAGTGATCCATCTTTCTCCGTCAAGAAGGTGCACAACAACCGTCGGCTTTCCTCTGACAGTAGCACAAAAAGACTTTGCCATCCTCCAGTGTAACCATCATGGGCTTGTGCGATGCATAGATTGCAGGATCAATACTAGGCACTTTTAGGAAGTCCTGCTTGGTCAGCACCCGGCTCTCTGCAGTGATCAGGTCGCAACCGATGTGGTTGTAACCAGCCCCTTCGCCACACATCACGGCCATGTTTTCCCGCATGGTGACCGCTGTAGCCTCCCAGTAACTCCCGTCAAATCTAATCATGTCGCCCACCAGATAACCCCCAGACACCATCTCCACTGCAACACAATGCGGATCGGCACTGCCACAAGCGAGCCATTTAGTGTCGGTCAATCTGGTCAGCCCGTCGGCTTTGCCGATGCCGTAAATTGTGAGGCCCGACATGCCGATGGATGTCATCTCAGGCTGGATGTCGGCCGAGACAGCTGGCAGATCATTCCACACAGCAAGTGGATCAACGTCCTCTTGGCACAGCTGCCCTGCCCGTGACTGCATTTGAAGCTGCTAGAAGTCATCACAGCCACCACGCATTGCCACGTTCCCCCCGCGGCGTCCACGTCGTAGCTGTCCCGGCATGCTGCCTCTGCTTCAACGGACCGTTCACCGCTTCGAGAATCGCAGTGGCCGTCGACTGCGCCATAGGTCTTTGAGATGAGTTTGCCTTGGTGCTTCCATCCCTTCACTACTGCTTTCTTTCTAGGCTAACAAGCACGATATTAAGCAGATATTAAGCAACACAGTCGGGGTGCCGTGGCACTTTGGAAAGCTCTGGAGGGATTGGTTGACACCGATGTCTCCAGCCACCTTCAGCCCAAAAGACCGCACGGCAAGCAGCCAAATGAACAAGGCGCGCTGCATTGCGACCGGACAAGGGCAGATCAGCTTCGATGAGCCCGGCTGCTCAAACATGCCAACATGTCCACAATGCGTGGCTGAAGTAACGCGTAACTTGCTGAGCAGAGGATTCCAGGGTGGGGTTTGGTCGTTTCAAAAACATTGACTCAATTTCTCAGCAGTGGTTTTTCGATCGGTCTGGCGGAGATCACTCCATGCGAACCTCTTGTGTAAATTTTGGCAGCCAGATCATCAGGTTGCAGCAGCTGCTGATCAGAGTGTACACAGCAGCCTAAGCTAATTTGGGAGAGGTCTGCACCCCACAGCCTCCTTCTGGGTGAGACGGGCCTCTCGGATCATGCATCTGCTTGCTCCGTGACTTCCTCCGGCTCTGTCGGCTCGATCCTACAGCGAAGCTCAATCGCACTTAGAGGCGTACTTTACGTCCTGAAGTGTCATGAAAGACGCACCTCTCGGAAAGCTCGGCAAGGGCAGATCGAGGCCCCGCATCTTAGGGAGGGCTCCAAGTCACAGCTGCAGGAGCTCCCCGCGCAAAATCTTGTCTCAGCCCCACACAGAAGTCAGCAAGCTCTGCCTCGAGCTTCTTGAGATCCTTGCAAGAGAGCTGCAGATTTTCGACCATTGGTGTGGAGAGGCCATCTGAAGACAACCCTCCCAGGCCCTCCTTCTGCAAGGCTTTCACTTGCGGATCCAGCTGGGACAGAGCCTCCCGGAGCAGAGCGTCTCGTGCTCTGACGGGCTTTCCCCACGCGAGTTCTGCGCCCAAAGGACCCCGGTGCACCTTCTGTGCTTGCTTCACGCTGGCTTCCGCCGTAGATTGGGCCTACAGCAGCTGCGAAAGAACACAAGGTGCCCACAGCCCACGATAGCCCACGCACCATATCAGCCAAGTTCAGGACTGCTCTGGCTTCAGTATATGCCTGAAGCATCCATTGATCTATGCTCTCAGAGCGATTGACCATACTCTGGAGACTTCTGGGAACTGATCGTCCAGAAGGGCGGTGCCTCAGCACCGACATGCTGCTTCGCCTTGGCATCTTCGAAGGCTGCCTGCGACAGCACAAACGCGAAAACAACGCTCAGGCTGAGCAATCAGAGGGCAGCTTGCAGCATCGCCGCGGCCTCGGCTTGCGAGAGCTCGCCCTTTCGCTGCTCCTGACGAGTCGGACCCAGGCAAGATCACCAGCCACACACTCACCCGCTTCAGCAGAGCACATCAACTGCAAAAAACGTCGCCAGGCCACCCCTAGGCCCTAGTCCGTCCTTCTGGGGCGTGGAGGCTGCCAGTTCTTGTGCGACCGCCACCTCATGCACTGCGAGCTCCCACGCTGCAGAGCTTTGGACAAATCTCGGTTGGGCCCCGACCCGACGGCGCTCCAACTCCTCTTGCAGGCCCGACACGACCTGGCGCAAACCCGTCTCTTGCACTCCATGAGGCTTAGCATCTGCTTTACTTTGCCTGTGGACCTCAGAGTCAGCAAGACATCTATGGCTGCAATACGTCTACAAAAAGGAGCTCCCCGTGGTGGAAGGAGGGATGGGGAGAATGAACCCCGTTCAGTTGGCACCCATGTCGAGTGCTCACGGCATAACTGTGCTGCTGCTGACCAGCTCCCAAGCAAACAGCTCCACACAAAGCCGCAAGGGAGGCATAGCAAAATGTCATGAAGTTGCGACTGCCACTGCTAAGGCTCTACTGGTGCTCATATTCAAACAGAAAATCCTGAATCCGAAGCTCTAAGACCAAATTCTCGAAACCCTGAACTACAAAGCTCCGCCGGTAAGAATCAACTACAGACTGCTTGGTTCGAAGCCTGCTTCTCAACTTAGACCATCGGATACTTCGCGGCCGACTGAGTCTGTGATAGCTCGGCACGTATGAAAGTCTGCATCACAACCCCTTAAATTGCTCGATAGCTCGCTATCCGTGCCAGCAACCCCGATGCTTCAATGCTCAACCTTGAGCATGCCAACGACGATGGCCAAGGCCCGTGCGCTTGTGTCGAAAGCACCCCGCATTGCCGGTTCCTGAACAGGGCATCACAGGCTCGGAGCATACTGTATGTTACAGGACAACTCAGAAAAATCTCAACCGTTCTGGATCGCTCTTATGCCGTCACCACACGTACCTCCATATCGCATGCCTCAGCAGACCTGCCGTCTTGCCTTCGTGATGGCCTCTGGGATCGCCGTCAGCAGAGACCTTCGCAGTCGAGGTTCAAACTGCCGGCTGTTCGGCCCAACTTCGACACACAAGCATTCTCCGCTGTCCCAACGAGTAAGCCTCTGACGCAATGCATGGCACTCTCCCCAACAGCTAATTGCCAAGGCCCCTTCACTTATAGTGTCATATCATGTTCCCTTTATTCTCATGATGTACCAATTCTTGGCCCTTGGCTCGTCCAGGAGGGCCAGCTTCTTCAGCGAGGAGAGGAGGTTCTCCGCCTCGGCTGTCCAGGACATCCTTCCCCAGCTCTGGCAGGAGACAGAATGGGAGGGTTACCATAAGGGTATCAGGTACTTGTATAGGGTTCCCATAAGGGTTGCTATTGGGGTTGCTGTAAGGGCACATAATAAGGTAGTTATTGGAACCTCTGGCCTCGGAGGCTCACTTCATTGCCTGGACTCGCAAGTTCCTTTACATCGCCCTCCAGTAAGACGAAGCCTGCAAGGTCTACTAGTTCCTACTACCTCCGGACTCCAGCCCCCGCATCTGAGCCGCGAGAGCAACAAAAACCCTAGGAAAAGCCGCGGGCCGGACACTTCGCCGAGCGTCGTCCCCAGTGACGGCTCCTGGAGGCCCCACAAAACTGTTGATGCTACCACTCCCAGGACTCGGACTATCCGTTCTGCTTCAGACCGTTGCAGTACATTGCAATGAAACTCCATGACTTCGGATTGTCATGCTTCCCCTGTTGTTTTTCAGACTCCCGCGTCGAACTCTCTGCCGGAGTCCTTGAACCAGCGGCGTGACTAGATCTGTCACAATCGATTCGAGGTTCTCCTGCCGGTTGCGACAGTAGCCATTTAAGGGAGAAGAGAGCCCACTGAATACCTACACACAGTCCAGCTCCATCTGAAATCTGATCCAAACACACGGCCTGCAATGTGTACAAACGATACTGGGAGGCTGAAAGGCCCCGAATCTTTAGCATTTGCAACTCACAAGTTACGAGTGCTGCGATGCTTTAGTCAGTCGGCTCATCGTGGAGGATGACAGCGGATGACACATGGTTCACCCATCTGACCAACCACTCCTTGGCCTTTTGCCGATCCAGTAGGTCTTTGTCAGCTTCACGCATTGCCGCCTCAGTCAGCTGCGCGTCTGGATGGTCATGCGCGCTGGATACCTCGACGTACTCGCGGTGCTGTCGATGAATGAGGGCAAGGAAGAGTACACACATACAAGAGAGCGCGGGCTTATCAACAGTCTAAGAACAGGAAGCGAAAGCGTCTGAAGCATGCCTCCGCGCCTTTATGCATGGCATGAACCCCCGTCCACCAAACAGATACGTGTTCTTATTACACACACACATATCACCAAGTGTGCACAAACAGATAAGCGCGTTGTGCTAGTATGCATTATGGGGTGTTCAGGGCCTGTGGCCGAGAGGGTCTCATTTACGGATGTGACAAACTTGCCTCGTGGCTAAGCCGGGCACCTGAGCTTTGGAGATGCCCTCCTTGGCAGCTTTGAAAGCCTCCAGCTCCAGGAGGGCACATAAGATTACTCCATGCGAGAGTATAAGCAGGGTTACTGAAATGGTTTACTCTAATCAGGGTCACTGTGATGAGGGCTGGCACGGGGCTTCTATGAGAGTGCAGCTCCCATGGGGTGTTTAGGGACGACTCAGGAGTCTCGCCAGCATAGCGTAACTGCTTTGCAAGGCAAAGGATTGGGAATGCCCGCTGTGCATGTGCAAGGCATGTTGCAAGTCTGGCAAAGGATGAAGGCTGCGATCCTTGAGACTGCAGGCTTCTTAGAGTCATGCTACACACGCGAAGCCGGCCTGTGCGTCAGCAGCAAGTGCATACTTCTTCTCTTGGGTCCTCGGCGCACCATGTAAGAAGGGAACTTATGCAGAGGACATCCAGCTGAGCCTCTCCGCGGCTACGCAAACCCCAAACACCCTTCCATGAGCTGAGCGGCAGCAGCTTCTTCGCATCGAAGTCCTCCTTGGCTGCTTTGACCTGGCCGAGGGAAGAGCCGGTGCCAAGTCGTGGATGCAAGGATGCGGCGAAACAAACGCAGGAGAACCGCCGCTTCCCTTTCCGCACGCTCCGTGTCGGAGTTCGTGATCTTGGACTTTTGATCTGCCTCGTGAGCCATCATGGACGCAAGGAACGGCATCACTACTAGACACTGCGAGTCAGGAGTGCCGTCCAAGCGTCAATCGCTTGCTCGAAGTCCTCCCCAACACCCTGGATGGTGTCCGTGACCATCTGGACCTTCGGAAAACAACTAATTACGCTTTTTGAGGCACCAGGTGCTGCTCGTCTCAGCATTGGGCCACAGAGGCTTGGTACTTGTGGCGCTTGTCCTCGAAGAATCTCGAAGAGGCGATACGGGCCAGTCAAGACACTACGAGATGCACCGACGCTCGTGAGTCCTTGCTGGTGAGCAAGGCAGACCTGACCATCCCGGACCTGAGTCTACAAAAAGTCTCGTCCTCTTCAGTGGCTCATGCTCCTCTGGTATCTTGGGCCGTGCACAGCATCCTTGTGACCGCTGGCGGGACCTCGACCCAGAGTGAACAAGAAGGCCTTCATGATCCCCTCCCGGCCCCGCCACTCGCTCTCCAGGTGCCTTCGAGGACTCGAGGCCCTCCTGCACCTGGTCGCAGTAGGACTGGAGTGGGTCCAGCTTGGCCGACGCGGGTCGCTTCATGGCCTCCCGAAGTGCAACGAATGTCGAAGATTCTGGGGCACAGGAGCTTCTGTCGGGACAAGGCCCCCTGTGCATGCCTGCCGTCTGAGGATGCGTGGGGGGGGCAGATCGGAGAGCCCTGTGCTTCTGAGCCGGGCATCAAAGCGGAAATTTGGGGCCTCTGCAGACGGCTGTCGTCAAATCAGGATGCAAGTGCACCAACACTTGTAACTCGCCTCTCCACAATCTTTGCTTTCGGAGCAAATGCTGGCAACTAGTTTTGCAACCACATCTTGCCACAGCAATTCGATTCCTCCGAATCCCTCCTGAGGTCCAGTCTCAAAATCGCAGCAAACTGCTCGCACAACCTGCACTTGTTCCGCACAGCATCCACTTTTCGCCCCCGGGCTGGCAGATTCTTGCGCCGGTCTGTTTTCCACGAATGTCCTGATTTGGGGACAGCTGCATTTCAAAGGCTTGTCCCCATTGACCAGCCGGGGAGACGTTGCAACCCCACCTAGCCGCAGCCCCTCACCTCTGAAATGGGAAAGAAGTGATGCTGGCCTACACGGCAGAAGCACAAGGGGCGTGAGGCTGTAGCATTCTGCACGTTTTGAAACATGCGATCACCGCAGAAGCTTCTCTGTTCAATCGATTTACTTTAGCTTCCACTCTGCAATAGACACGCAAGACGAAAACAAGACAGTAGCACTTGCGCGGCTACGTGCAGCTGGTGTTCTACTATGTTCTACTGCTCCAAACGGACGCCCGCTTTCAAAAGGATCGGCAGGCAAAACACGAACTCTCAGTGCGCTCATCCATGTCGGGAGATGATGCGGTGAGACGAACCCTGCCCGTCTTGGGCAGGTTCACCACTCGCCCAGAGAGCCCTCGGCTCAGCCCATGGCAGGATTCAACTCATAGATCTGCGAGGAAAACATGCGAGTCATGGAAAAAACTTCTGGGTGCGTGGCGGAGCGTCCCGTAAACCAAAACGCCCAGCAGTTTCTGGCCACGCCCTTGTCGAAATGATTCCTGGTGGTTGCTTGAAAGCCTCCAGCCTGCACGCAGCCAGCAATGCAGGCGCCTCCTGGCATCGTATACCAGCGCGTCGCTGTCCAGCAAAGCATTGTACCTCATGCCGAGATGGGGTCAAGCCTGCACGGCTGCAGGGTGCACTGGACATGGAGGGGCACTCTTCCACGTCGAGTTCCTTTGCTGGCGTGCGGCTTTCTCCGGGGGCCTTTAGCTGCAGACTTTAGAAATGTAACGTTCATAACTCCATCTCTCAGCCGGCCGCCACCCAGAATTCATCTTCTTTCCATTCTTGATTCAACTCATTCCTGCGCAACACTCACTGGCCAAAGGGAAGGCCAGGCTCACAGCATGGCCTGCAGATGAGGCCCCAGTGGATGCGAATGATCGGCCTGAAAGAGACGGCAGGACATGCGCACCGATGCTAACAGCTCTGCAAGTGCTGGGCCCATCAAGGTAGAGCAGAGTGAGGCTGTAGAGAAGATGGAAGAACCTGAAGCGCAGGACCACGCTGGAGAATTCAGGGTTTACTCCTATTTCGCAGGTGCTGGGACACATGCAGGAAGAGAAACTGCAGGGGCGTCACGTAGATGCCCTGGGAGCGAGCACTGCCCCACACCGTGGCGGGATGACACCCATCTGTTCCAAGCCTCCTGGACTAGAAGGGCCACCATCAGCCAAGCATCCACAGTGCATCCCACCCTGGCGGAGCTCTCGACTCTCGCATCCAAAAAGCTCCACCGAGCCGAGGCCGCGGCACTCCCAGCGCAGCCAAGCCTGGATTTCAGCTTCGAAACTTTGGGTCGAACCTCCGGCCCGACGTGGCAACTGATCCGACATGAGGACCGGGCCAAACAGCATGACCACGAAGGAGCGATGATTTCGAAGGCCTGGGAGTGGTCGCTCAAAGAAGCTCCAGACGCCGGGCACCGCAGGGCGCCGCCGGGCGCCGGGCCGATGACATTGTTGATCCATTTGCCTTGCCACCACACATTCTGTCACATCCCTGAACTCTTCTGGAAAAGCCCGGAGCTAGGACCAGGAGCGGAAATCACAGCAGAATCAGGCCCTCTCGCAGACTGCCGGCCAGGTGCAATAGTGGTCATGGCGCAGAATCGGCAGCGGATAGAGCCATGACCTTTCACAGGCACTTGCACGGCGGCGCTTCGGCCTAGGCCTAGACCTGCGTCTTGGCTCACAACTTGTGGGCGCGCTTAGGCATGCCCTGCACAAGCGTCCGGGACTCTGGGGCGTACTGGGGCATGAGACTGCAAGGGTCACTCACAAACGCCTGCTCCACATCGACAGTCTCCTGCATCTGCCCTGGGTCTGCGTATGCGCAGTACCTGACCCCAAAAACCAGCTCCATCACGAAACCTGCATGTAACATAATCAAAAGCAACACATTGCAACGTACCGCACCAACCGGGATATTCGGCTTTCTGGATGTTGTGATGACGTGTCGCCGGGCACGCCATGCACCACATCGTCCCGAGGAACACTGTGCCGAAGCAAGCCCGCGCCGGAGCCTGAGGCGGAGCTCCAAGCCCGAGCTGCCCGAGCTAAGTGCCAGTTCCCAGCTGCGCTAACTGAGCTGCTGACGTAAATGTGAAGTGCTGGCAGCTGCACCCACAGCATGCAGAGAGCTCCAAGGACCTTTGCGGCAAACGGAAGTTCTCAGATACGCTGAACTTGTACATGGGGCCCGGGCTGTGGAAGTCGGGAGCACCTTGGATCTGCACAGGGAGTGAAATCGGCGTGGCGTGGCCAATGGTCTGCGGGTCCGACTTTTGGGAGGAATGGCCGCACGTCCACCCCGGAGATCGTAAAGCGCCTGGGATATCGTGGCTTGCAATGCTTCAAAAAGCCTCGAGAGGCACCAGTTTGAGTCCTGCTGTGCCTTAGCTCGCTGCACGCGGCTGTCTGCCTCGCTGGACACCGAGCCCTCCTGAGCATCTGAGCTCTGAGATGCGATGCATCTGAAGCTGCTCGAACATCAACCTCAAGCCTCAAGGACTCACCTATTGAACCACTCCTCTTCGGCGCTGTGATCGTCTTTCTGCATCTGTCAGGATGGATGGCTTACGATAGGCTGCCCAGCCATCAAGCGATGCTTCAGCTGATCTCACTACGATGCGCTGGTGCTCTCGAGGCCTTGCGGTCGGTGACCTGGGCGCCCTTGGAAGTGAGGAGGGTCCTCGGCTGGGTTGATTCAAGAGCACATCATAGTATGACCAAGATCAAAGTTCCGCGCAGCTACCGCCACCATTCCCCGATTCGGTGGGGTTTCTGTGTTGGCTGAAGTGCGCTGCTCGCTCTCTCTCTCTCTCTCTCTCTCTTTCGCGTTATCTTTCTCTCTTTCTCTCTGCAGCTCTCTCCACTTTTCTCCCCCTGTCTCCCCCTCAATCGCCACACACACACACACTCTCTCTCTCTCTCTCTCTATCTCTCTCTCTCTCTCTCTCTCTCTCTCTCTACCAGGACACACACACTCTCTCTTTGCTTTGCTTAGGGCTTGAGGCGGGGGCNNGCGCGCAAGCGCTGCCCCATCCATCATTTTCGACGGATGGGCTCGGGCTGTTCAAGTAACTGTGTGCCCCTTTAAGCCGGTACTCCTGGGACTGTGCCCGAAACCACAACAAACGCAAACACTCTGAGGCCCGGACCAAGGTAGAGTTACCAACACACTGAGTTCGGAGTACCGGTAGGTGGCGTCGCTAGGGGGGTAGTCGGCAGCAAGGTAGTAGGTTCAACAAAACAAAGACGGTTGTTCCCCCGACGGCCACTCCTTTGAAGGCCTTGTGCCCCCCACTTTTCGCTGGTGACTTTAGCTGGTGCACACAGGGGCTACAGGGCCTACGCTCCGGGAGGTACCTGTCACCACGGTCGCTTCAGTCACCAACGAGCGCCCCTAGGAGTCTACGTCTACGGTGACTCTCCTGGCTAGCTGTGCTCCGCGGGCTGGTGCCCCTCAGTTGTTCTTCCTCAGGTTGTAGTTCCCCGGGCTCGGCAAGCCACGGGACGGTGTCCGCGTTCTCGTCCCAGGTGGCTTCTGGCTCCGTTGGCGTCAGCTCTGGGTGTCCCGTGTCGTCGCTGTGCAGCTGGTCGTCTTGAGGAGGTCTCCCTTCTCGGTGTGCCCCACACACTCTTTGCTTTGCTTTGGGCATGGGGCGGGAGCAACCCTCCCGTCCCGCGCGAGTGCGCTGCCCCATCCATTATTTTCAATGGATGGGCTCGGCTGTACTAGAAGAGTGTGCCCCTGTTGGGCTGGTGACCCCTAAGGAGCAACTGGCAGAAAAGGCAAACACTCTGAGGCCCGGGCCGCACGCAAGCTGGAAACTAGCTGACAGTGGTTTCTGCTGGTCCCCCGAGGTTTGCTAGGTGCGCTGCGGAGGTCTGAAAAAGGCTGTGCCCCGCTTTGCTTCGCTCTAGGGTACCCCAGGAGCGGTTGGTCAGCTAGAGCGACTGGTGTTCGGGGGCACCACCACTACAACCAAGGTACGCTGCAAAGAAACTGCAAGTACATGGGCCTACGTCACAGAGGGTGATGAGGGTGCTCCGAACCTTTAGTCGTCAGCTAACGCGCTCAGTAGTCTACGTCTACGGTGGCTCTGTTGGCTTTCCTGGCTCACTGGGCTGGTGCCCCTTGCTCCCCTCAGTTGGTCTTCTGCAGGCTGTTGGTGACTGGCTTGTGGTGGTGCCGCGTGCCAAGGCACTGTGTCACTGTCGTCGTCCCAGGTAGCTTCTGGTTCCGTCGGCGTAGGTGCTGGTTCTCCTCGGGTAGCCCCTGCAGTCCTGGTACCCCTTGTAGTGTGGTGTTCGCAGTCCACGCGGGTCTCGTAGTGCCTGGTCGTGCAGGTTGCCGGTCCTGTAGCAGGTGTAGTAGGCTTTGCGAAGGCCTTTGCATGAGCTCGAGGGGCCACGGTAGCCCCCGCTGTGCAGGTAGGGCAGGCGGTGCGGAGAGTAGAGGTACAGCTGGACACACTCTCTCTCTCTCTCTGTCTCTCTTCGTCACGGCATGGGGGGGCGTGCGAAGTCTCCCGGCCACATGGGCCCCTCGTGTTCGGCTTTGCGGCATTGAGAACTTCCAGGATTCACTCATGCTAAGGTCATCGTAGAGGTTTTGTAACAATGTAGCATACGTGAGGTTCCCCTGATTTGTTACCGCCACATGCGCCAGTTTTGCCCATGACAGGGACAGTACCTGTTTATGGATTGGAAACCCATTCCTAGAGAAGATACTGAAGTATGTCAGGCCGTCCCCCGTGGGCCAGCGCCGAAGTGCTCCACGTTTCAGCAAGGAAAATACACTAGCAGGTTCATCGTGAAGGCTTTTCGCAGACAAGAAAGCCGAGTTAAATACGGGTCAGTAACAACAGAAAGGTCTAATTCCACGACAAGTGCAATCCCGTCCGTGATGAACCTTGGATAAGTCGCAGGGTCTTTCGCACGGCTTCGAGCTAGTGACATGTGCTCTACCCTTTCATCTCGTCCTGCGATCTCAATTCAATCTACATGAAGAGCACGTGCATCCACTCATACAAGGTACACATTGCGTGGACACAAGGGAAGACTGCTTCAGTAGGTATTAAATAGCTATTACATTCTGAAGTGACATTGGCACCAATGTATGTGGCTTCATGACTCACACTTGCAACTAAGGCTCAAGCACGAAAAAAGCACTAAGGCCCTGTGTGTGTGTGTGTGGGTATGTGTGGGTGTGTGGGTGTGCATGTGTATGTGTATGTGTAAGTGTATGTGTATGTGTATGTGTATGCGTATGCGTATGCGTATGCATATGCGCGTGCGTGTGCGTGTGCAAGTGCCTGTGTGGGTGTGCGTGTGGGTGTGTG